GGTTTACAGAGAGTCAGCATATTGCCCCCAACAATCTGGGTCCTCATTTTACCCACCTCGGAAGGATGGAAGGCTGAGTCAACCCTGAGCCTCTGATTATAATCAGAGCCTAGGATGGAACTGAACTGGTGTTCAATTCAATTCTTATTTCTGAAGTTGAGTCGTTGATGTACTGGGATGATTGTTCAAGTAGTTTTATACCCAACTAATAGCAGTTTAGAGTCATTTTGGTACAAAGGTTAAGGGACCATGCTAGGAGCCCATCATTTCTGGTCCTGCCTTGGACACAACACCAGCTGGATGACTTTGGGCGAGTCACTCTCAGCCCTAGGAAGGAGACTATGGCACACAACTTCTGAAATTGTGTCAAAAAAACTGCAGGTATTGGACCTGGCAGTTGTCAAGAGTAAACACTAACTTGAAGACATACACACAAACACAATGGTAGCATTACCCAGTCCATGTTTTACTCTTATCTATAAGGGTTTCATGGAAAAATGGCAAATGCACTTTTGCCACCGCATTCTGTTGGTCAGCAAAACTGGACAATCTGTTGGAAAAGAGGTCAAGTTATTTTACGTGGAATATTTAGTTGGATTATCAGGTTCACCATAGAAATTCGTTAAAGGCCCTTGACACTATTGCAAGTACTTTCTATTCTAAAAACTGTGTTTTAAAATATATAACTACTAAAGTGTAATAGGGTACAACATAAATATAAACTGAAGATCAGTAAATAGCAGATTGGCTCATATAGCCATCAGATTAACAAGCAATTAGGTGTTGTCTTTCATTTATCATTGTTCCTTATGTCATCTAGCCAAACCCACAATTTTAGATTACTACCTTGTAGTGCACACTTCTGAGGGCTATCTATTAGCTCTGTTTCCAATACTTGCCCCTATTGCTTGCAAATATGTAAAGCTATACATTATTTGCTAATTTTACGTTTGGGTGAATGTATGACCTTCGTAATGTTACTGCCTCTAATCTTTCTTCAATTTTTCCCTTTTTTCAGTAAAAATAAAAAAGAAACAACAGTAAGATATGAAACGGTTATATGTGGACATTGACATCATCCAGATCTCCCACAAAATTATGTAAAGAATCATTATTGCATTAAAAAAAATCCTCCATACTAATAATTTATAGCATCACCAATCATGATATAACTCATAATAGACCTATAGAATGTAACAATTATAGGGCACCTTAGTGATCTAAACAAATGTAGGAATTCACTACTGTATAACCACAATGACAACAAAGTTATCTCATAAATATGGGTACAGGGATGTTCTACAGTAGCAAATCTTTTAACTTATAGACTTTCGACCTCAAAAGTCTCCAATGTACTAATAACACGGACCTGCCATTTCCTAGATGATGACAGCCTCGTATTTCTATTTTCCGCATCAAATCAAATATGAGAATAGAGTTGGAAGGGATCTTGCAGGTCTAGTCTTCTAGTCCAGCCCCCTGCTCAAGCAGGAGATCCTCTATCATTTCAGACAAGTGACTGTCCAGTCTCTTCTTAAAAACCTCCAGTGATGAAGCATCCACAAGGTCAATCATTGGATGAACACATAGGAATTAATCAAGAAGGGTTTTTCAAATGGGAATTCTTTTAAGGATTTTTGCAAAGGAATGTGGAAAAGAAATGGAGAAATGTATATCTCATAACATAGCCCCCAAGATAATCCCTGTTCAAAATGGATACTTACTGTGTTTCCCCAAAAACAAGACAGGGTCTTATTTTCTTTTGACCCCCAAAATAAGCACTTGGCCTTATTTTTGGGGAGATCTTATTATTTTTGAGGTTCAGGAGGCGGCGAGTGTGGTTACCTCATGGCTGCTGCTATGTTGCAATATTTTCAGGAAGGGGTTATTTTTAGAGGGGCTTATTTTAGTGCATGCGCTCAAAAACCCGATTGGGCTTATTATCTGGGAAGGTCTTATTTTCAAGGAAACAGGGTCCCTGCTATAGGGCCAGGCTACCAGCTTTTTCAGGTACCATTTTTTAAATGGAAATTTATTCACTGATTTAGGATAGATTATGTGCTCTCCTAAGCTGGGACGCCAATGCTGACTATTCTAGGTTTTCTTTGGCTGGGAGAACTTCTTGTGTTATGTTTTGCAATTGCAAGTTGCTATTGTTGTTTTATTTGAGATCAGTCTATAAGAGGGAAGAGAGAGGAAGAAGCTTCCATTGCATAAGCTAAACACTACTCAGCTCTAGCAAATTTAGTCCTATAGATTTCTTTTACTGTCCTCATAAGGCGAGTAGAGACTTTGCCTCCATCACTGAGAACTATTCTCCTCTGACTAGAGTATTGTTGTGACAATGAATTTTACGAGCCTGGGTAGTATATCAGAATTAATGAAGAAGGCTTTTTAATACAGGAAATCTTTTCATTCGCAATGAAATCCCTGCACAAACACTGTGCAAGGTACTTTATATTTAGACAACCAGTCAGTTTGAAAATATGTATTGCACAACATAGACCCAAGCGTAAGGCTCTTCTTTATGATTGCCAAAAAAAAAAAAAATGCCCACATAGCTTAGACAAGAGACTTAAAACAAATAGCATAAGCTTTAAAATAGACTTAAAACAAATAGCATAAATTTTAAAATAGACGTACCTGATTTTAAAGTTTATTTTTTAAAAAGAACAGGGTCCACCATGCCCCTCTGGCAAAAAAACCTTCACCCCCCCAAAAAAAATTTTTTTTTGCTCAAAAGGACAAAGAAAAAACTATATGCCTGATATAGTTCCCTCAGTTTCTTGGTCATTGCTCCATCTCTTGAACTTTCACCCATTTCCAAGATCAAGAAGAGGCACAGCCCATAAGACATTGCCCATCTCTGCTGAGGGAGGAGGATGCATTAGAACTGAGATACTGCAAAGTGTTACATTTCTCAGGTTTCCTCTGAAGGAGAAAAGCTGATGGAAGAGGTAACTTGGTCTAGTAAAAATGGCTTCAGCTTGCCAAAAAGAACTAGCCTGATGCAAAGCAACAGGTTATACAGTTTGATAAAGCAGAAGGGGAACATCTAGTAAGAGTTGTGAGAACACTTATGGGCATTTTGTCTGTTATGATTAGATAGGACAAAGGTGGTTCTGGGTGCCAAGGAAGGGTGCTGTTGCAATGGGATATCATTATCTGACCAAGTTCTGAAAGTTGTTTCTCCTTCTTTGCCCAATAAGCACAACAATGTGTTTTCCTTCTGTGCAGTTACAATAAATTTGGCTCAAAACAATGAGTGGGGCCTCCACTCATTAAAAAGAGTAAGGGACTTGCTCAATGTGTTTTCCTTCTGTGCAGTTACAATAAATTTGGCTCAAAGCAATGAGTGGGGCCTCCACTCATTAAAAGAGTAAGGGACTTGCTCTTCCTCTTCATCTGCTAATGAGAAATGAGAACTGGAAGGTATATTGACAGACTGCTGTGGTTAAAAATTAAACCCTTATTTTTGCAAGGACATTGGGAAAGGCAAGGACAATCTCTCTTGTATATAATCTCTGATATTTGCTACAGAGCTGCTTGGTTTTTCAAGCACCTCTTTTAAAGTAGAAATGTACTCACAGGTTTAAGAAAGATTGTATGCTCTCCTAATTTTGTAAGTGGTGGTGAAGCTGGAGAGCCAATGCTGACAATTCTAGCTTTTCTTTGGCTGGAAGAATTGCTTGTATTATGTTTTCCATTTGCAAGTTGTTCTATTTGAGATCATATGGTGACTGTGAAGTGGGGGGTGGGGGTGGAAGAAAGAAACTCACATTGGGTGAACTGACTATTGCTCAGCTCCCATCAGATTTGCCCCTATAGACCTCTTCTTATTGTTCTCAGAAGGCCATTAGAAACTCCACCTCCCTCACTGAGAACTATTGTCCTCTATTTGTCTATTGTTGCAACAATGCTTTTTCCAAGCAAGGATCAGCACTTATGTACTGTAATCACTTCAGACAAGCAAGCACTCAACGGAGATGTACTTAAGCATCCATAGAGGAGTATAGTAATAGTGTGAAAAAAGAAATGCAAGATCAGTTCCATAAACCTCAACTTAACCCTGAGAGGGAGGATAGATAAGGTGACCAGATGTCCCGATTTCAGCGGGACAGTCCCTCTTTTGAACAATTTGTCCCACGTCCCATTTTTTTTAAAGTCCCGATTTTTTTTAAAGTTACGAAAAAGCCTCCAGCGGCCTTGAGGCTCTCCTAGCAACTGGGAGCGTATATTCTTCAGACCAAGCACATTCCTGGCCGTGTGTCCTTGGGAGCTGTTGCTAATGGCTGAGGGAGGAGAACACTTTACTCCATGTGGAGACCGCGGGCTTCCCTTATGGATTTTTTCTTTTTCTGTTGCTTTGAGCAGCCCCTCCCTCCCCCCTCTCTCTTTCTCTCTCTCTCAGAGCTAGCGGCTGCCTCCGAGGCTGTCCAAGCTCAGCCCCTCCCCTCCCCCTCCCCCCAGACTGCTGCTTCGCCTCGGCTGCTCGGGGCTTCT